ATACAGTTTGGAACTAGTGTCACCTTGCGGAATTACAAAATAAAGCATATTTTCAAACAACCTTTGCAAATTATCCTCATACTAATTTTTATCCTTAAAACATCTCACTATATTGTATCTGGGGATTGACCGCAAAGAGCTAATGTGTGGCAAAAACTTGAGTTTAGCTTATCTGTACAAAATAAACTTTTGCAAGTTTGGTGTCTTGATTGATATTCAAACCATCTATCATATCCCTCCATCTTGCAAAAGCACTGCCAGTGTTTACTCTTGGTTCACCCCATTGTGTGTCTCTTTGCATATTTTGCAAGTCTTCGAATTTTGGTTTGCACTTCTATTACTTAATCTCTTATTTTCCCCTCATGTAATGTGCCACCCCATCTAAACACCCTCTGGCTCAGCTGGCTACAGTAGCCACGCCCCTAACTCTTTCTATTGGTTGAGCTGGAAAGAGACTGACCTAAATGGAAATTGTTGATGGTGCCTGGGAAGCTTAATCTTTACACTTTTGGGAGAAATACACCCATGAATGGCATACTTATAGTAGTCATTGAACAATAAACTGTTAAGAGAATGTATTTTAACATTTAAAATCTTACAAACTTCACCCTTAAGGCGCACATGATGGAGTGATGCTGTACAGTAGTCCCAATAAAGTATGAAGCGGTGTTTGTCAAACGAACAGCTACCTGTGGTGGCCACTTGGGTCCATCTGGCCCCTTTTTGCCTCTGGTTTACAGAGACTCCCTGAGACCCACAGATATCTGGGGTGGACAGATATATAACTAGTCCAGGAGTGAGGCTGAACGCAGAGGTTAAAATCAGTGACATTTCGCTACAATTTCACAGTGCATTTGGACAGGAACCAGCTCCAATCCTTATCTGTGTGATGCAGCCCACATGTGTGGAGTCTTTCCCTCTACGGACCGACTGGCAGTCTTCACACCCTCCTTTATAAGGTTCATTGAGTGCGACCTCTTCTTCTCGCCCTTGCTACTGCACACCCTCAGAGAAACACACATGAGTTTACCCTCACGTGAAGCTTTATGGAGTGGGAGGGAACGAGTTGGAAATGGAAACTGCTCGCGTCCTTCACGTCTTCACAGCGAGGCCCTGAACAGGTTCAAACCATTACAGGTGACTCTCGTCAGGACCTACGACCTCAAAAGCGAGGAATCATTAAGAAAAGGTGGGGTGGGTAGACAATCCAAAGGAAAGCGAGTGAGGAACATGTGGGTCATTAGCGTGTAGCCACACTGCAGTGCATCTGCTTTTCATATCAGCGCACTTGCACTACGACCGAAGGAGCCTCCGAGGAGACCTCAGGTTAAGACCACAGAATATACATGTGAAATCAAATCCTCATATTGACAGCACCGGTCTGCTATTGATTGCGGAGACCACAGAGGTTTATGGGATGTTATGGGGCCGGTGTGGAAAGGCGATTTAGGCTCACCACATAAACACTACGGTGTGAATAACGACGAAGCATCTCGCAGTCCCAGACACGTTTACAGGCCCCGCGGGGTCACCAACCTCTTACTGCATGCTCCGTTAAAAAGCTGGAATCAAGAGGGATATTACGCCACGTGCAGAGAATACTGTAGAACGATTTAAGTCAAACAGCATATAACCATGGCAACGTGCAGATTTGTGCCGCTTTGTTGTTTGGTTGTTGAGCTCGTGCTGCACAATGGGATATAATTTCATACCGAAGCAATATGCATGCTATATGTAGTGACGAGAGAATCCAGGGAAGACACATTGTCATGTGAGATTAAACAATTGTTGTGCATTCCTCACTGTGTGAAAGACTATGGAAATCCTGGATACACACAAATACAGTGGAATAAAGAGAGACATGTTGGTGGCATGAATGCAGTACAAATAGCACTTGGAAAAAAAGATTAACAAAAAAAGGCTTTAGAACTCAAACTGAGCTCTTTTTTTTGGGCGCGCTATTATATAAGTATTTTATTGATTTATTTTGTTAATTTATATAAGGTTTGTTTTTTGTTATTCTTACAACCCTGCTATTAAGATTTGAGACACAGATACATTTAAAAACCTGATTGGTGGGTTTTCATTATTTTATGAGAAACATAGGTTAATGCTTCTTTTATTTGTTTGTTTTTTTCCAAATAATAATAACCAGTAAAGTAGCTGTGATCAAATGTTTTTCCCTCTTCTCCGAAGAGTTACAGTTAAAGCATGCTCATCATGAATTGCATTTTAATGTATTTAAATAATAATAATAATAAAGAATAATAAAATGCTTATATATTAAAATATTACATACATTTTACTTGCTGGTTAAGCACTGTGTTTTTTTAAATAAAGGCAAACAAAACCATTTACTGTAAACAGAATGAAGAAACTTTTTATTGAATATAGATTTGATATGTACAGAGAAGCTTTGTGTATATTTTGACACATCAGGTAAAAACTTTGAGTAAAAACCATTTTCACTGTGCATACAGGAATCAAACTCCATAGTACCTACGACGTACATAGACAACAAAATGTCATACAAATACATTAAAATGTGCAGATTAATCTTTGCTTTCTTTTAACGACTAAAACAAATGCTGTATGATCAGAGAAAGTTCATTTTAAAAATATGTGCATTTGGCGACACGTTAAACTTTTAACATACAAAAACATCCCTCTTCACAGGCACTCCCCAACAAAAATGTCTCATGTATACAATGTGATGTAAAATAGTAGATAAGCAGCCAGCACCACAAAAAAAAAAATATATATATATATTAAAAAAAAAAAAAAAAAGATATATATATATACTGCTGTTCTGGAAATGTGTTTGTAGATACAATATTAGAAGCACATTATGTTGTACCACAGAACCTCGAACAATTATGGGAGGAAGTACCGAAGTCAGAAAAGAATAGAGCAGATATACTGAACATTTTCCACAATGAATGGATCCGAGACAGAGCGAGACGCCAGGAAGAGACTTGGAGGAAAGTACATCGGTCAATGGGCCTGGCTTTCCCTTTTGTGAGAGCTTATTGAGCTCTTTTAGCTTTAGCTCTGAAAAATGTGGCCAAGTGTTTCATGTGCCTGCCAAGATACAGTTCATAGACAAGAGAGAGTCATGTTACAGGCACTGGTGATACACAATCCCACGCAAAACCCACACACACGTGCACATATCAAAAAACATACAGCACACATAAAAGTCACATGACGTTTGTTAGAGTGGTTAAGATTTTTGAATGAATAGTTAAAAGGCAGCTGGATTTAAAGGGATAGTCAAATTTTATCATAGAAGTCATATGGGCAACTTGACATGCCTTTTGAGAGAAAAGTATGGACTACACTTTTTGTTCCACAGAAAGTAAGGCAAACAGATTTGGAACGACATGGGAGAGAGTAGATGACAGAATTTTCATTACTAGGTGAACTGCTCCTTCAAACAGGTTATGGACTTTATCCGTGGCTACTGCGTTGTGAGCTGTAACCTGAGCTTTGTTGTGTTATAGTGGAACATGTGCGATAAAAAACTAAAGTGCTGAACAAAACTAGTATCTGCCTGAGTGGCTGAAACCAAAGACCGTTTGTATGAAGGCAAAGGTCAGAGTCACACCCACACCTACTGGGTATAAAAGTAACACACTCAGACACAAGCACACTGCCTTGATAGGAAGCATTAAAGTTAACATGTTCCTGGTGTTATTACGCAAGATCTGGGAACATCCCCAAAAAAACTAAAAAACAACAACAACGTAACATCGTCTTTATATCAAAATGTAAAAACATGCTCCACTTTTAAAATGATTTTCCATTTTGGATGACATCATCAATCCCTCTTATTTTTAAGCCCCTCCCCTCCAACCACTTGTCATAGAATTAATTTTTTCACAATCACACAGATTCCTGATGAAGAAAATTACATTTGATCTCATTAGCTATGTTTCCATCCAAATTCGCGCAAAATTAGAATATCGCATGAAACATTTGCAAATAAAACACTGCTTTCATCAATGAAAGTTGCTGCAACCACGGAAACTTACATAATAAATGACTTGCGTCTCAGAGCACGCAGACGGAACGCTGTAACAAACGTCATGATGCTATCTTGCGTAGGGTTACCTGATGTTTTAGAACGCAATCATGTGAGGCACTTTCATTATTCCAAATCATTTTGATGGGAGAGCTTGGTTCAGGCATTTCAGAATGACTAAAACAACATTTGAGACGGCATGTGATGAGAACGGTGTGCAGGTTAGTTCAGTTATGCAAAGCCACATGACTTTTTTTAATTGCACTGCAGAATTTATTCGTTAAATGTGTTTCCATCTTAGTTTATGAACATATCTTCTTATCGAATAAAGAAATTATAACCTTTTCATGCACATTTTTAGAATTTATGCACATATTGGTGTTTCCATCCAGAGTTTCTTTATGCGATATTCCAAAATTCCCATAAAATAGGTGGATGAAATCATAGCTATTGAATAAAATTGCTTCATGTTGACTTAAAAGGTACAGTATGTAATTTATATTTCTATTAGTAGCACCAAACCAAATGCTTTGCTCTTCTGGAAGTATTTTAAACAAGTTACGAAAAATTCCCAATTCCTGAATTTCTGTACATTTGTGACCCTGGAGCACAAAACCAGTCATAAGGGTGAATTTTTCGAAATTGAGATTTATACATTATCTGAAAGCTGAATAAACAATCTTTCCATTAATGTATGGTTTGTTAGGATCGGACAATATTTGGTCGAGATACAACTATTTGAAAATCTGGAACCTGAGGGTGCAAAAAAAATCTAAATATTGAGAAAATCATCTTTAAAGTTCTTAGCAATGCATATTACTAATCAAAAATTAAGTTTTAATATATTTACAGTAGGACATTTACAAAATATCTTCATGGAACATGATCTTTACTTAATGTTCTAATGATTTTTGGCATAAAAGAAAAATGTATAATTTTGACCCATACAATGTATTTTTGGCTATTGCTACAAATATCCCCCAGCGACTTAACACTGCTTTTGTGGTCCAGGGTCACATTTATTGTACATTTACCATCTTAGAAGTGGAGGAACAGAGGCCACTAACTCAAGGAGAAAGCAGAAGAATCAATTACGAAGTGGGTGGAGATGGAAGGCGACACATGAGGAGCAACTGAGAAGTATGATGGGTTAATGGGGGTTTCCGTAGCAGAGAGTCAGAGGGTTGTGGGGTCATAACCTTTCCGCACTCTATTAGCTGAGTTCAGCTACACTGCTGGAGTACATGGGATAAAACACACCCGCCCTGAACACATACTGTACACCTACACCCACAAAACTCTCACTAGCGTAACGCATTAAAAAATCTAATTCTCAGCGAAAATAATGTGGATATATTTAAATTGTAAAATATGGGAACAAATTCTTAATTTGTTTCTACAATACATATTTAAAAAAGAATGTCATGAGCAGGGCTCTAGGGATGAAAATGCCACAGCGAAAAAGAAAAAAAATCTTTATAGACCTAGAACCAAGCATCGTTTTATAGCTAAATATTGCATTTTTTCTTTTGATTTTGTGGTGAAATATGACCAAGACATGTTTCTGGCAGGTGTAGTGAAATTCACCCACCTACTTGTCTTTCTCAGCACACTTGACAAAAACAAGGTATGTAGGTCACAATATAGTGGAAACAACCATGCATCAAAACCTGTCATGTGATTCTCAAGTGTACCTAGTGCCATAACGTCAATTAATTAAACAAACACATGCACAATTGTCAAAAGTAAGAATGGGAGATGAATAGTTGACAAAGATCTTCAGTGTGTACAAAGATTCCATACTAGAGTACAAAAACAACAACTTGGCAACCCTCAGAAAAACCTCCAAAACCAATCCTCCATGCAGTCTCCATGTTATAGCCCTGTCTCTCTCCATTCAATATTATTGCTGTCATACAGTTTTTCCTACAGTTTTGATCTCTCGTCTCAGGAGTAGAAGGGGTGGCCCTTCTCAGGGGTCTGTAGACGGTTGAGCCGGGCAAGTTGGGTGGGCGAGGGTGGCACGTCTTGTCGGTAGGGGCCTTTGGGTGGAGCAGAAACAGGGGTTTGGCTTGAGGTTGGTGTCTCCTCCATAGTAGGTAGCTTGGTTTTAGCCTCTTGCTCCTTTCGTCTCTGTTCCTGTCTCAGGAGCTCTTGGGTCTCCAGGAGGACGCGAGCGTTCAGGCCCGTGGCGGCGGCGCCCAGGTAGCCATTGGCAGTGCGGGATCCCTGGTAGCTGGAATAGCGTGGGTTCTCTTTGGTGGACTGAAAGACCTCGCCAGGAGGATAGACTTTATCCCAAGAGTCTTGAGACACGGTGCTAGGGTTTTTACGTGGTTGTCTGTAAGGAAAAGAGAAAGAAGGGTAACACTTTATTTTGATGGTCCCTTTCAAACTTTCTGTTGACAATAAGTAAATTTGCACAAGTGCTGTCAAACGATTAATCGCGATTAATCGCATCCAAAATAAAAGTTTTTGTTCACATAATATATGTGTGTGTACTGTGTATATTTATTATGCATATATAAATACACACACATACAGTATATATTTAGAAAATATTTACATGTATATATTCATATTAATATAATTTATATTATATTATATAATATATTTAATATATAAACATAACATATTTTTCCTAAATATTAACATGCATGTGTGTATTTATATATATACTGTACGTAATAAATATACACAGTACACACACATATATTATGTAAACAAAAACGTAATATTATATAACAAAAACAATTATTTTGGGTGTGATTAATCGTGATTAATTGTTTGACAGCACTACTTTGCACCCACATATCAACTAACTCTTTATTGTGATGGTCTCCCAACATACGTTCTACTGACTATAAGTAACTTTGCAAGTACACATCAACTTATTATAACCCTAACCCTACCAGTCTACTAATACTCTACTAACACTCTAATGAGAGTTAGTAGATATGCAGGTGCAACATTACTTATAGTCAACAGAATGTGTTAAAGGGACCATCAAAATAAAGTGAAACTGAAAGAAGGAGACCAAAACATGGTAAAAAAAAAAGGATGTATAAAATCTAGACCCGAGAGTAGGCTCTTTTGACTTGGGCTAGTGAGTAACCATCTAGAAACTATACAATAAAGTGTGCCGCAGACATCCTAAAAAGTAAGGCCAAAACATGTTGATTGTCGCCTTGTGGCATAAACCCTGCCCTATCTGTGTAAACGAATGGGATGTGAGCCTAACAAAAAAATCAAATTACTCTTCAAATAAATTTTACCCAAAGATGGTTTCTGTCATTTTAGGTAGTTCTTATTATGCTGGTGTTTTCAAGTGTTTGTTTTTCTAATAAGTGTGGTTTTATTTGATGCTATAAAAACGGTGTGTGGCATCACGATTGTGTGCTCGTGATGAGTTTGTGAGAGTTCGGACAGGACCTCGATACTGCGGCTCCACTTTATGAATCCAAATGACATTTTGGGACATTTTTGCTTCGTTTTTCTACAGTGGAAGGAAATAGGGACGTATCACCCAACTTTTTTACAGTCTATGGTAACAACCACCTACAACATGCTATAGCATTTTGGTGGCAAGTTGTCCAAGACAAGCGCCAAGCACCAGTTCTCCAGAAAATGTAAAAATCTAGTTCAGTGCTGCACAAAAAGCGTTAAACACTCTGTCTGAGACCAGCTAGCATACTTAACATCAAGAAAGGAAATAACAGGTTCCTTCAATGTCCATCCATATCGGCCAATCAACTACTAGACATCTGACAGACCGCCAGCGTCAGATCCCTTTCTTGCCTAAAGGAACGAGGGAAGAAATATCCAACCTACAAATTTCTTTTTCAACGTGGTGGCCGTTGTGAGGGGTGTCCACTCAGACTGTGTCCATCTTCTCTCTGCTCTGTTATTAGGATCCATTAAGTGGGAATTTGAAGTAGCTACCGTGCCACATCCCATCGCCTCATGGCTAAATGAAGCCCCACTCACAACTCACTGGCTTTGCACACTTAAAAGCATGCGTGTAAGTGTGTACGCGCACACTTCTTTTGGGATTCACACAAGAAAAGAGTGCTTTCAAAAGAAGGCACACAAATGTTGTAATATTGTCCAGAATTCAGAAAGTGGTTGTGAAATAAGGGGTGTTTAAATCTTTTTTGAGAGAGAGAAAAAAACAAAATCTTCATGCACTTACAGTGACGTCTGCATACTTGTTATTGAAAATATTGAGAAAAAGGTGACTAATTATCACCTTGAAACACATCTTATACGTAAAAACAGACTGCTAGAAGCAAACTTCATTACAGCATTAACAAATCAATATTAATTCAGTAGATACAATACATTTTTATAACTCTTATTAAAGTAGTTAGTTCCGGTCCTGTATGATGATACACCATCAATGTACCATCCTGAGATAAAATACTCAATATATCCATATTGTGAATATAGTCAAGGCTAAAGACAGTTCTTAGCTACTGCACAACAGTGAAACGTGTCATATTTTTACGTTTAAATTACTCAGATTTCAAGTTAATAAGTAGAGACAACTATAAGTACAACATTTGTCGATTTATTTGAAAGGTTTGAAATCCCGACCAGCCCAACATAGCAACAGCTCAAGTAATGGCAGGAGTTTGGGGCGGGGCTTTCTGCCTGTTTGGGGAGACCATTTGGGAAACCTTTTTATTTTTGCAATTCTGATGCCAGTGGAGCAAAAACTACACAATTCACATGTAGATAAAGTGATATAATAATAAGCATATAATAAGCAAGCATATCTCTATGATAATGTAATTTCACAACACAGCTAAAAACATTAATTAAGTATTTTACTTTTATTTTATTGTTTTGTAAGAGCTAGTGTTTGTGAGTATCTGAGAAACAGATGGTGTGCATCACAGTTTATCAAAAGGACAACAGCCATGCGCATAGAGAACAATATTATCTCAACACCTTGAGTAATGTTTTCTATTTGTTAACAGAAAGCAGAAAGAGAGGCTGGAACGCGGGACCCTCCTCTTATCTCTGTGAGTGTTGCCGTATTATAACGTGCAGCTGTTGCATGAAGTTGCGCTCTGTTTCACATGACTTCCATTACTGCTAATCAGCGTACACTTCGCTTATCTGTTCCTCCCTTTCTTTCCGTCTAATCCACCTCTCAAAAAAGAATCCCTTCATTAGCCAAGTGCTAAATCTGAATCTACAGTGTAAACACATAGTTGGATCCCTGTTAAAGCTTGCTTATAATCCACAGTCTGTCCATGTGTCTGTTGATTAATCCTCATTGGTTTATGATTGGTGGAGGGATGGCGTTCCAGTAAGTCCTTACATTACTAATGAGTGCGCATCTCTGTCAGGGTCCTCCAGAGGACAGGGGGTCATTTCACACCAGCTTGACTCTGCTTGACCGACGGTATGAGATTATGAGTGGAATGCGCATCAAAGGGTCGCTGTCCGTGTGGAGTTTCCCCAGGGAAAGTGTCAAAGCTCTGCCAGGAACCAGTCGGCGGATTCCTCGCAAATCTGGAGTTTTTGTCTAAAGTTCGCTCAATATAGACAGGGACACTGACGATGCTTAAAGCAGTGAGAAATAGTGTAAGCTGATTGGTTGAATTGATTAACTGTCATTATGTCCACGTAGTGTGGAGTAGTGAATATCAACCTCTCTATCGACCGTAGGACTTCCTCTACTGTCTTGGGAAAGAGAAGGGAAAAAACGATGGACGAATCTGGGATTTCTGATGCAAGGCCCCCCTCCGTTCTGCGGTGTGCACTGGGCTTTGTCATTGCTTGAGGGGGGACTAATTCTATAATTGTACATATCCTGGTTACACCGCTCCCAAAGCCAATAAAAACAAGCGCCATGCATGTTAGACCACACACACTGTAGACATTTCCCAATAATTCCAGTTCAGAATACCCACATACCACAATCTTATACTAAGGCAACTTGAATGGCATTAAAATAAAAATAACACGTATTTCTTTTATTTTTATATTTTTATGTTTTTCATGTCTGTGCTGTTAAGACGTAGTGTTATAGACATGAACAAATGCTAAACGTAAGCAATAAAGGTGAAATGCATTTTTTTTGGACTTCTTATTCTCTTCTAATCCCATTTAAATGACGATTTTTTTCCACAGACAAAATATTGTTTGCTTTTTTTTTTTTGCCTATATTCTCCTACCACCCATTAATTCATTCAATAAATAAATAAATGAAAAAATAAATAAATACACTTAAATGATTAAATCAATATGTTATTTTATGTAATTAACAAGGTTATTTTATTTTTTTATTTGTATTTTTCTGTACTGGCAATGCTGTATTTTCAGCATCGTTACTCCAGTCTTCAGTGTGACATGATCTTTCAGAAATGATTCTAATATGCTCTTTGATTGATCTCTTTTCTTTTCTTTTCTTATTGTTATTATTATTATTTTCCAAGATTCTTTATATGAACAAAATATCTGAATAATAGCATTTAATGCATTCTTGGTTAATAAAAGTATCAATGTATCATTATATTATAAAAAAAAAATTATAATAATAATAAATAAATTAAAAAAATGTAAAAAGACCCCAAACTTTGGCAATAGCAAAATAAGCCTTTTGCAATTCTGGTACCATATAAATTTCACTGTTTAAACTTCTGCATCTAACTTGCAGTTTGTACATTAAAATGATCAGTTTGTTAAGAAGTGTGATGGCAAATTTGATCAGATTCGCAATTTTTTGCCTGGCAGACAAATGGGAGAATGTGTCATAGAGACTAGGCTTCAATGTCAGCCTTCAAGATTTCTTTTGTGGCTAACAAACCACTTTAGCAGAACCTTGGCGACACCCTTGCATTGTGAAGGCAACTTTTGAGCTGGTACGTTTTCATCAGAAAACTTAAAAATGCCGTTTTTCCTGCTGTGCTGTAAATATGTACTGAAATATTGAGTGAAACTTTATCGGCAGCGCCAGCAGTTCCCCACCCCTGTCAGTTAAGTATGTAAAGCTCTAATGCGGGATTTTTTTCTTCTCATGTCTGTTGGCTGGATGCTTTGCATGAACTGAAGCAGATTAAGAAGATACCAATGCCTGCAAGTAGAAACGCCGATATCAAACTCAGCCCACAGGCAACATTCTAAGCTTTATTGACATTTATGATAAATATGCAAAGGGGAGGGAAAGAAAAAAGAGAGAAAGCAGTTAAAACAGATGAGGGACGGGGCTGATATCCATCCGAAAAAGGGAGGCCCTATAAACTGCGGTTGCCAAGATAAACTTTCCTCAACACACAGGTTCTCGGGCTGATCTTTATTAGGTTTAGGAGGGGCATGTGAGCATGAAGACAGACGCTGTTGCTGTTCTGAAGGCTTAGAGCGAAGACAGAACCGACCGCATGACAATGGGATGACTTCAGTGGAGAAATGCCACTGAGGTCAGACAGAGTGTGAGAGACGTGGGAATAAGATTGCACGCATATTTGGGTTATGGCTGATTTATTAGCATGAATTTATTAAAGCATCACTTTTTATTGCTTTGTTCTAGGCGATCCGGCAACTTATGTACTCGTATTTGAGATTTATTCCTTGAATGTAAGGAATAGTGTTACAAAATGTAACAGGAAAGTATTATAAAGGCATGATAATAATGGTATGATATGACGCTTTATGTATTATTTACATGTTACAGCAAGGTCAATGTCCTGCCAAAAAGGCATTAAAATTATTCAAGTCAAATAATAATAATATTATTATTATAAAATTAATGTACATATGCTAATATGCTACATTTAATTTAATTTAAAACTACTTTTTACTTCATAACTCCAAAGGTTATGCATGAAAAAGGGCTTCAGTGCTTTGTGCAAATATTGTTAATTTAGTGTTATTGTGAGAGACAATGTGTGGTTAACAGATCAGAGAATCTGAGATATTTTGTGCAGTGACGGCTCTGTTTGGCTTCTCTTACCGCGGTAAGGAGTTGTACTGCCTCTGGGCTTGTGTGAAAGAGTCTCTGTCCTCTCTCTGTTTCTGCATTTGGTCCTCCACAGAAACCGAGTGCCGCCCCGTCGGTGTATAAGAACCCGTGTTGGTCTGAAATATGAAAATGCATATTCCAGTTACACACAAATATTACAACAACAGTATAAAGCATTTTAAAATTGTGTGTTCGACAGAAAAGAAAAGTCCTTCAGGCAGAGTAAATGACGATTTTGTTTGTTAGTAACGTGATTAGTCAGTGATTATGTGTAGGAAGGTGTAACACTATATGTTTGCACTGACCGAGTTAACAAGTGTACAAAATTTAACAAGCACAGCATAATTTTACAATTCATGGTCAGGTGGGGGTTTTATAATTCTTGAGGGGCACTTGATCACTACCGATTCTTCCAACAGCGCAAGGTGTGCTAATGAGAAACGTGACTACCACACCCGAACGCAATTAGCCTCGAGTGCACTCGTGCTACAAACAGCTGACTTGGCAAAAATGACAAATGCTGCATTAATGCGGTGAGGTGAACGTTTAAACGATTCATAAGATGGGAAAAACAGAAGAATTAAACATTACGGCTATGGTTTAACTGCAAACTGGAGAATCAGGCAATTTTAGCCATGTCTGATGAAGGCCGAGCAAAATCCCTTCTGAGACACATTTTAATAGCTAAAGGCCTGGTAAATTTCTTCGCTGGCAACATATTAAGCCAAAAACAGAGAAAAGGAAATGCCTTTATTGCAAGCTAGAAGCAACAATGAAGTAATTATTCACAGTGAGATGTTTTAATGAGATTTGGACTGAGAGGAAACTGCAGCAAGCAAAAATCAGCTGTGTGTGTGTGTGTGTGTGTGTGTGTTCGTGTGTGTTCTGATATGCCACTAGCCAAATACACACTATAGATAAATATGGTTGTCAATCCTCTTCTGTACACATGCAATCTCACTTTCAAATTCTGACTGTTACCTAAAAATAAATGAAATCATCAAATACCAGTAGCAAGACACAATAAACTTACACAGTACTCATTTAATCACATTTTAATTTAATTGCTGTTCTACCCTGCATGTAGAGGCTGATAATTTAAAGTTCATCTGCAATCCTTATAAAAACATGAAAGCATGACATTTTCATGAGATCACCAGACAGCACATGGCACTTTCTCTTATTAATTACACAGAAATGATCTTTTTTCCCCCTCTTTTTCAGACACAGAACACATACAACAATACAAAGCCCACCTGAACAAACACAAAAAATGGCCTGATAGAGAGTCAGACATAATTATGAAAAATTGACCACATCAATTCTGAGCAAGTAAGCATGAAACAGCTGGATGACGAGGAGAACTTCCCGGTCCCAGACTTCCAAATCATGTATAATCGTTACGATTACCACGCGGTGTGACCCGTAGCCTTTAATATCAAAGACGGGCTGGGCTTGCGGTGCACAGGGGGGTCAAACACACCCACACACATACACACACACACACACAAATACATGATCCATGTACAACACTGTTTACTGCACTATATGCTCAACCACTTCCAGAAACCTGCTCCGACATATGGAGTTAATTTTAAAAATGATGCACTTGACTGGGTGAGCGCAGGAAAAAAAGAGATAAAGAAAGGACAGAAAGCAGGAGGGAAAAATAAGAGAGGGAATGGAAAATGCGTATGCCATTCTGCAAAAATGTATCATAATTAGCCATTTTTGACAACACTGAGGTGTCTGTGTCTCAAATTAAAACAAAGGACAGGAAAATAGACAGAAAATTTGAAAGTGAAGCTATAAAAATTGAAAGCTCTAGCAGTGTTGCCAAGTCCATGATTTTCTACTTTTATACTGTTGCCGCAGGTTTTTTTTAGTCCGCAGGTTGAAGCGAAGCTCCACAGAAGGTGATCATAATAGTCAATTTCTCCCGCAACCCAATTGGTCTAGTTTTGAGTGCCATTGGGCTGGTTTTGTTACGCAGACCTGGCAAACCTGAGCTATAGACACATCATTCCTCTCATCCCTTAGAAACTTCACTTTTCTGTTCGAGTTCTTGTACACCAAGGAAGGTTTAGCTATAGCATTTAAACCCAGAACCCTCTAGCAAGGCTCTAGTAATGACTTAGAATACCGTAACAGCAAAGCAACTTGCCAATAGGACTAAGAACACTTTAAAAATCACCTACCAGCACATTAGAAACCATCCAAAATACCTTACAACAGCATAAACAACACTCTGATAACTACTTAGCAACACTTTAGGAACCATCTAGAACACCCCAAAAACAGTACAACACCCTAACAACATTCAGAGCACCTTAATTATCACATAGCAACAGCTTAGCAATCTCCTACCCTAGCAACTGCACAGCGACACAATAAAACACCCTAGTGACCACTCAGCAACACTCATGAAACCACCAAGAACACCAGCAAAGCAATGCATTAACAACATTGAGAACACCCTTATACTCACCTAGTAACCACCTAGCAACCACCTAGGACACCCTAACAACAGCAAAGCAATGCAATATAACTATTAGAAGACTGTAATGATCACCTAGCAACACCATAACAACAGCATAGCAACCACCTCAAAACCTCTAAAAACAGTAAGCACTAACAACAAAGAATAACGCCCTCATAAGTACATAGTAAGCCCCTAGCAACCATCAAAAACACTCTAACAACACCATAGCAACACACTAACAACATCCTAATAACCACTTAGAAAACCCTCAGAAACTGCCTATAAGACCATAGTAACACACTAAACCACAGAATACCATAATAACCAACTAGCAACACCTTAGAAATCTCCCAGAACTCCATAAGCATGACCAAGCAACCATTCAAAAACCTCAAAGACCAAAAAAATACATAGTAAGATATAAAAAGACCCACAACACCCTAATAACAACCTAGCAACACTTTCATAATCTCCCAGAAAACCCTAGCAACTGCACAATAAAACACTAAAACACCTAGAACAATAATAATGACCTAGCAACACCTTAGAAACCAACTCAACCCACATTAACTGCATTTAACATCCTGAAACAGCCAGAACACCTGAGAAACCTCCCAGAAGACCTTAGCAACTACATAGTACAACATTAAAACACCCTAATAACAACCTAGCAATGCCTTAGAAACCAACCCAACCCACATAAACTGCATTTAATATACTAAACACCCAGAACACCTCAACAACAACCTAGAAACAACCTAGAAACCTCCCAGAAGACCTTAGAAACATCTTAACATCATTAAATGCCCAGAACATCCTAATAACCACCTAGCAACACTTTAGTAACCTCCCAAAAGACCCTGGTTACTACACTAATGGTGTATTCACACCAGGAAAGTCCGCTAGTTCACTTTCTTTGGTCTGGACCAAATACAATGTTGATTTTTTTTACTTTGCTGCGGTTCGCTTTCACACTGTCCTTTTTGCAAGTGAACCAGAAACTGTCAACAAAACCAAATGTGTGCTTAAGGTCATCCATTCATTGGTTTATCCATTCAACCGTACCAGAGTTCGTTTGGAAGCGGACCGAGACCACCTCTTCAGCTGGGTCTCTGTATGTTGTTTGGTCCGCTCCCGAGCGCGATTGCTGTATTCACACCTGCCCAAAAGATCTGCACCAAGGGGGGAAACAAACTTGATTTTGATTCAATCGAACCAAACAAGACAGGTGTGAATACACCCTAAAATACCCAGAACACCCTAATAATGACCTAGCAACACCTTAGAAACCAACGCAACCCACATAAACTGCATTTATTATACTAAACACCCAGAACACCCCACACCCCAATAACCACCTAGAAACACCCTAGAAACCTCCCAGAAGTGCATAGTAACACACTAAAACAACCAGAACACCCTAAAAACCACATAGCAACACCTTATAAACTAACCAAACTTGCACTGCATTTAACAATCTAAACACCCAGAACATCTTAGAAACCTCCCAGATGTTTTTACAGAGGATATTTGAACGTGGGTAACACATTATTTTAGTGCCTTTGCTACACGTGTTACATACTTATTATCGTAATAACAGTAGATTATGCAGAATCACATGCAACTAACCCTAAAACAAACCCTAATCCTAATTAAATTGTATAACTACAATGTAACAAGGACACCTTAAAATAAAGTGTAACCACCAGTTTAGAAAAAACGTTGTATTATCAACCTGATATTTCAATATTAACAGTTTTTTTGCAGCCTCTCAGACCTAAAATAAACGTGAAACATTGACTGTGCATTACACCGGGATCCGAGTTCAGCTCAGTATTCAGAACAGATATAGTCCTCACATCCCCTGTAGGTAATCTCAGTTTTATCATCTAGTTCTAAATCTGGTGAACGTGAATGGATATATAACAGTAGGAAGGCAATCAACGTATATTTCACTGGAGGGACACTAATCTCGAGCTGCAGTGGATTTATCTACCCACTGTAGGCTCATTATCGTGTTGTGTACTTCTTTTCGCCTACATGCAGCCATTGTTCCCTGAGCTTACGGTGTGTTCCTGCAGCATTGAAAGATAACCTCATCCAACCTTTGGCTGCAGTGGGTCGACTGTACAAAGACGCGAGTTCTCTGATTCCACACTGTGGAAATCACGCCTGGTTCAAAGAAAACATGCTGGTTACTCTGAATCCTGAAATCAATGGCATTCTTTCCAGTCATGAAGGCTGCCTGAATGCTTGCCAGCACCGAGGTCCTTGTAAAAGAGGAGAAAAGCACGTAAATATGGGCCTAATGAAAGCATTTGTGCACGCATGTGATCCAGGCACCAACATAAAACTTCCGTCTCTTGTGTGGCCTCTGATCGGCTTAAGAAAAGATTGATTTTTATTCGTTGAGACAGGGCGGCAAGCCTCTGGAAGGAACATGCTCTTTATGACAAACATCTGGAAAAGTCCCTTTGAAAGTCATAGCGAGAAACGCTGGGCGTGATATACAAGGGAGGCATAACAAGACACGTCTAATTGGTCTGTTTACCGGTGGAGGTCTGTGACAGGTTCTGGCCACGGGGCGATTATCAGCGATCTGGGTTGGCAGCTCGTCGTCGCACATAAAAACCTGATGACGGGTTTCTTTCAGTCCTCGGGGGGATTGTGAACGCTGAGAACACACCTTAATCACTGTCCTAATGTGCGTCTCGTGCTGTCAGAACTCACGCTGGGTTTGAAGGATTATCTGGGGTGTACTTATCCATTTTTCTTCATAAAGAAATGAGAGGCGTTTGATGTAAAGTTGGGAGTTTTACCACATAGCTACATATTTAAAAGGCAATCAATCATTGTTTCATGCCACTTTGATTTTCTGTTGCACTTGAGGGACATTTCTAAATGGTGTAATGTACGGTATTTATAATCAAAGCTATAAATAACAACCGGCAGGCTTTGAAATGCTAAAGAAACCTCCAAAATGTGCTGAGTACCTGTAGCTAGGTGGTCATAAATGGTAATTAGATAATTGCTTTTCATAGCCATAAAAAATGCAAAATGCAATACTGTAGTACAGTGATGGCATCAAATGATAATAGCATACCATGATACTGTATGATTATCATATACCATTGTATTTAAAAAGTACTTCAAATAAAAATTCAGAATGCCACAGTATTACCATGGTATTTGTGAAAGAAATCAAACAAACAAACACAGTATCATTGGAATAAACGTGGCATTCAAACAACAACAACAAAATTGTCTAACTATGGTAGACATCAAGAAAATTATGGCAATTGATATTGAACATATAGAAACTACATAAAAACCACTATGGGATTCCATCACACTTTTGAATACTATTACATGTATATTACAATATAAAAAGTCCATGTCAAAAACCCATTGTATCTCAACCTAAAATATAAATAATGAATGTATGTATGTATGTAATGTTAATACCATAATTGATCATATCCAAAATGTTATGACAATTCAATGGCACTTTATAAAAACGTTGCATTACTCATCTGATGTTGAACAAGTTTTCGGCTGTGTCATCAGATCACCCCCCAAAAAATTCTAGATGCTCTCAGAGGAGCTTTATTTTGACAGTTTTATAACGTCATTATATCAAGCTTATGGCAGCAGTATCAACAAGACTGCTATGGCTATAAACGCCTCCCTTGCGCTCTCTTACCCTGCTTAACCATCATTCTCTCAACCTGCTGTTACGACTGACAGCTGTATATTTCTACAAGTCAACAGGACCACCGCGCTCGTGGGCCCTCTCAGACCTAAATCAACGTCAAGCCTGTTTGTATTCGCTTTGATGGAGTGTGTGTGATTCTAATGCAATCCAGGGATAAAACACCTGGACCACCTGATTCCTTGGGATGTAAAAGCTTAGTGTTACACTTTTTTTTTAGTTGAACCATAACCACCGTAGACATTGGGACTTGAATACTTTGTTACATCCTTAACACACACCTCTCCGCTATTGTTTGACACAAGCTTTTAGTGCTCTAATAACCATTTATTGGATGTGTCGGCCCAACATGCCATACAATACACAAAACCTAAGCCAGAGCAATTTTAGCATAATTTTTCCCACCTTTTCAAAGCTGGAGGGAGTTTTCCCTCACAAAAAAACTACCACCAGCATGTGCCTGTATTTCAACATCCCCTTGACACAACTTGGGTACAGCAATGGTGCCATCGAAAAAAAGTAATGCTTGACATCTAAACCGCGGTCTTCAGGAAATTTGCCCTTCTTATAATACCCTGAAAGACTCAAAGGCATCCCCTGGGTCCCATCTAACATGTTTTGTTATTTGAAACCAGTCATGTCCAAACTGAGAAGCCAACCCGTCAGCCGTTAATACAGTAGACTTGAGACACTCGAGGGAGGTAGCGTACTTTATTACGGAAAATGTCTCTAGTCCTTAAACAATGTAAACTATCACAAGCAATTAGGTGGCTTCTAGCTTGACTCCTCTGGTTCGGCGCTGTGCAAACAACAGGGCTTTTACTTCCTGTACTAGAAGCCCAGACAATGTGACACCATCGGGTACCAAGAGAGGTTTTAATTCATTCATACTGCAAACAGACCAGCTAAGGCTATGTCAAATAAAAGCTAGTGCATGTCTCCAAGTTTAAAAGCCGTTGCCTAGGAGACCATGTGTACTTCTGAAGTGAAACACTCACTTGAGGTTTACCTGCTGTCATAACTGGGCAAAAATGAACTGTCATTAAGTATATTTATTTATTAAATATCTGTCATTAGCAGTGATTAAAAACACATACACAGACAGATCCAACTTATTTCTAGAGGCTTGGGGCTGGGCACTTTTGACTTGAGCCAGTAAACAGCCACCTAGCAACTTCTTAGCAACCTCTAGCAACCACCCCAGCACACCTTTGAAATCACTCATAGCACCCTAGCATATACCCAGCACACCTTCGACATGATCCAGAACACACTAGCAACCACCCAGCAACCACTCGGAATACCCTACCAACCACCAAGAAAAAACTAGTAACAACCTACCTAGCAACCATCCATACTACCCTACCAACCACTCAGAATACCATAACCACCACCAATAAAAAACCTAGCAACAATCTATAAAAACCCACTACATCCCTACAATCACCCAGAACACCCAACCTACCTAGCAACATCCTAGCAACCACTTAGAATACTCTTGGACCCACTGATAAAACCCTAGCAACAACCTGTTAAACACCCACTACACCCTTGCAATCACCTAGCAAACATCAAATACAACTTTGCATCCCAGCATTCACCAAGAACACTCTAGCAACCACGTAACAATATTCTAGCGTACATTCCATGTAACATTCTTCAGCCACCCAGAACACACAAGCAAACAGCAAGCAATATTTCAGCAACATTCCAGAATGCCCTAGCAATGCCCTGGCAACAAACCACAAGACCCCAGCATGTGTCAGTAGCCGGGTTTCCATTACAGATTTGCGCAAAACTTTTGCAATATTTTATAAATGCTTCAACTTTTAAGTGATTGTATTTTCATTATGCCTCCATCATTAATCTTTCTGTCTAAGATGCAGATAGACCCCAGCATGTGTCAGTAGCCGGGTTTCCATTACAGATTTGCACAAAACTTTTGCAATATTTTATAAATGCTTCAACTTTTAAGTGATTGTATTTTCATTATGCCTCCATCATTAATCTTTCTGTCTAAGATGCAGATTTTTTTTCTCTCTCTGCACTGATCTGAGTGAGTAAGAACATTAATGCATTAATTGAGTTGAACACATTCTAATCTCTGTAGAGCTATTCAAGACCTGAGAGGAAAATGGAGGCCAAATATGTGTCAGAGAAGACAGGGTCAGAGAGCTGACCTCTAATTTAGGAAATGGTTCTATTCCTCGAGGTAATTAGCCTGTCATCTTTTAAAATCCCCCTCCATACCCTTAACAGGAAGTCATAGGACAGGCCGCCATGTCTGGCTCAGGCCATTACAGAGTAAAGATACACAGCTATTTGAACTTTGACCCCTTGCAACTTCTTTCCCAGCCTCTTGAGCAGTGTATATTATTTTAACTTGTTGATAAAGATAAAATAACGGCTAGCCTCTAACCTCGGTTAATAAAATGAAGAACTGACTTTCAAGGACACAATGTTAAAACACATTCACCTCTGTGCAGACCTAACAAATACAAGCAAGTTTGGGGGCAAATCAACTGTGAGATGCACTTGTGATATGCAAGCTAACAACAAATGCACTTTTTCCCCCCACCTCACAGAACAAACACCATTCATGCGTTATCTGAGATCCTTGACAATATCTCACTATAATACATGTCACTCTTTGCCCTGAACACCAAACACCAGGCTGGCTTAAATGCTGCGACTCATTTGGAAGAGTTTGCATTTGTCGGCCACATAAGTCATTGACACTGGCTCATTTCAGAAAAGTAACCATTACATTCCAAAAAAAGAGAAATTACAGTACATAAATGTTTTATAATGGTTACTTTCTGAGATGAGACACCCTCGATGATGTATCCAGCTGACAAATGTGATCTCCCGTAGGGTGTAGCCTGTGTAATGAGATGAAAGAGATAAAGTGTTACTTTTGCAGAGGTGCATGCTGGGAAGCTTTAAGGGTCAGGGTAAGGGTGCACATGCTAAACTGAGGTTTATACAGTAGTCTTGCACACTCACCCTCTGTTGTTGTTGAAAGCTGTAGGATCGACGGCGGTCATCAGGTTCCTCCTCCTGCTTGGCCTGCTGGAACTCTTGTCGTAGACGTTGTATCCGGTCATGGTTGCTGGGTGCCAGTCGGTTGCTATAGAGGAGAGAGGAAAAACATTTATGACATCACCATTGGTCCTGACATCAACATGAGAAGAACAAAGACCAGATGGTACACTACAGACGATAGCACTTGAATAAGGCACAGTACAGCTCGAATTCTTACAAGAATACAGCTTGTTTCCTCAATCAATAGCACAAGCACCATTTGAGCCCATGTGCCCCTATCCATTTTGCTAAATTACACGTACGGACACAGTCCATTACTTTTTCCACATTTGGCTTGCGCTCGCCGGCATCTTGAGAACATGAAACGGACCAAACATTTCCGCAAAGGACTCCCCAGTGAACCATGGCCAATGATACATGTCCCTCCTACGACAGAGAGTCAAAGGCCCACATCTCAGCCCTGCACCCCTTTAGAGAACTCAGAGAGACTCATTTGCATTCCTTTCATTAAGAGCTGGGGAAAGTGACCGTCAATAGGAATCAATATGCCTCGTCCCGCTAATCAAGCCCCGTTTTTTATCTACTCCACCACACGGGCTGCTGGTGACAAACCCCTCATTATAATACAACATCCTGTCTGATAATATGGCTAATTTACACAGAGAGCGAGCGAGGGAGAACTGAGGAAGGAAATCCTCAAAGAAGGGGTGAAAAAAACTAATTGAGAACACAAAGAGGTAAAACATTAAGCTTACAAAAATATGGAACACCAAGAAAAAAAATAAAAGAACAGCATACGGATTGGCAATTCAGCATACGGATGAATTACGGAGATGTCATCTCTGTGGGGAGCTGATACAGGTGGCTAAGGTGGCCTCCACTGACGCTGATAGCTTACTTAAGATGAGATGTCTGGTCTAAATGTGCTCATAATTGTAGATCGCAAGCAGGAACAGCCCACTGACTGAAATGGCCACTCCGACACATTGCCAATCACCCTTCATTAAAACTGCCGCTAAATGGCCTGCCATAAAAACCAAATGGAGCCGAATAAGAATCGTATGAGTGGTGATGACTGAACATCCTTGTTCTGTTGTTCCATGCAGCCATTAGAATCAATTGTATTAGCTTTACTTCATTTAACGCCCCATCCCTATATTCATATCTGGTGGTGGAAGAGCTTGAAGGCCATCAAATGCATTTGCAAGGCGGAGAAAATGGAAGTGTTTTAAATTAAGCGAATCATTGAGCCGTGTGCATTTGGTGTTGCATATACAGGCAGGTAATCTACTCGCTTTTTCAAGGGCCAAATCTTATATGTGTCCATTAAAATAGTGTACTTACCATTACCAAGTATAATAATCCACTAAAACAGGCACAGGAAAGCGTTTCAAATCCATTTTTAAAAGTGAGATGATATCAATATGAGAGTTTTGGGCTAAAAGTAAGATTTTTTTTAAATGCCATTTGATAACTTATCATAAAATGTGCAAAGTGTATCAACTTCATCCACTGACATTTACTGACATTTTAGCAAAAGTAGAAACTTAAAAAAAAAAAAAAAAGCTGTTCTCAAAGAAACATCAAGCGGATGAAGGATGAATGAAGCTAAGGACGATACATTTGGAGGAAACTGCATACGAGACATGAGGTCTTTGCCGTCTTGTATACTTCAAATAATATCCGAGTGTGTGTGATGAGATTCAATTGCAGTAATCGTAGACATTTGTCATAGACAAAGTTTGTAGACTTTTGATGACCACTCTCAGCTGCAACTTACACACAAAGCAGTCAAAGCCTGAGAGAAACAAACAAATCACTCTGCCATTACCACACATCTGTGAGGGGAAATTAATTTGGCCATTAGCTCCTGTAAACGTGTGATTAAACATTAGCATCAGTGGCAATGCGCCTGGTGTCTATGCTCACAGCAAGAGAAACGCTAACAAGCTTTGAGCAGTACAGAGGAAACTTGCAAACAAAGCTTTGGTAGAAAGAACAATAGACGGGATATCTGCAAACAAATAATCTAGCTCTAATCTTATTCATAACACTATATTTTCATTAGGAAACCTAATTCTGATGTAAACTATCTGCAGTAGCATGTAGCAGGCATGACTAACATCAAAGATTTAGCCGTATGATTGGATTACAGCTTGTTTTTCAGGAGACGGTGGACTCCAGTCTTGACACTAAACCATCATTCTACACTCCTATTAAAGTCTGTGTTGTATCTATTCCCTTCTTTATCCATTAGGAGATGAACAGGGATGGTTCCATTAGCTTAATCCCCCTGCCTAGGAACAGCCTTCCTCTGAATCCTCTGACTCCAAAACAAACAGCAGAGATTTGGTCATAAATGCCTAAGCGAGACCCTGGAAAGGTTAAAGCGACCATAAACTGAGTCACTCAGTTCAGTAACCAGCTGAGGCTTGTGATCAACCCATTAAACAAACCAAATGACCAACCTCCAATGATGTTCCTTTGTGGTTAAAGACGTCAATTTAGAAAATGAAAAGTGAACTTTTACAACCACAGATGTGGACAAGACCACTACGAGTCATACGGAAATTAGGAAATTACAAGATTGGCAAACAATTAAAACATGGAATTGTTGTAGAGGAACTAAGCTGAACCAAATCAAGTCGCTATACTCATGAAATGAGGTTCAAATGACAATACTATTAGATGAACTGGAGAACTTAAGACCACATACGCAGCAGTTCAATTACAATTGGTGTATTTGGACGATCTGGTGTGAAATTCCTGCAAAAGTGGCACTGAAAAATTAGCAGTTGGAATCGTAAAAGAGCACCCATGTGCGTTAAGTGCTGGCGGCCGCCCATCTCGTTTACTCTCCCTATTCAATCCTCCATTACAAAAGAAGACAAATCTTTTCGGTGGAGTCCATGAGCACTCCAACACCACCGCACATGATAAGTCTCAGAGCATGCTTGACATCAGGTATCATGTGGGTTATAAATACCTCCAGGCATGCATCAACGACAGCCCCGGAGCCCGGCTAAACAAGACCTCCCAAAGACAGGCAGCAATTTGCGTCAATAAAGCGGCGACAGTTAGAACAAATGCACCCGTGAGCCAAACAATGGAGGTGGGTGAGGAGGCGGTGGAGTATGAGGGGAGAATGATGAGGGATCACTTTCCTCAGTCTCTTGTTTATGCATCAGATTAAAGGTCAGGTGGTATGCAACTTGAAGCCAGCTTAAAGGGTTACTCCACCCCAAAATGAAAATTTTGTCATTAATCACTTATCCCCCATGTCGTTTCCAAACCTGTAAAAGCTTTGTTCGTCTTCGGAACACAATTTATGATATTTTGCATGAAAACCGGGAGGCTTGTCACTGTCCCATTGACTGCCAAACAATTAACACTGTCAAGGTATAGAAAAGTATGAAAGACATCGTCAAAATAGTTTGCCATCAGTGATTCAACCGTCATTTTACGAAGCTACGAGAATACTTTTTGTACACAAAGAAAACAAAAATAACGATTTTATTCAACAAGTCGTCTCCTCTGCTTCAGCGTAGCACCATTTTGGAGAATATCTGCTGGACGCAAGCTGCGTACGCAGTTCTGTGTCAGCCGCACCACATGGATGCGTTTTCTACGTTTGTTTACACTTTGATTTAAACGAAAACAGCGTATCCGTGTGATGCGGCTGACACAGAACAGTGTACGCAGTTTGTGTCCAGCAGATATTCTCCAAAATGGCGGTACGCTAAAGCAGAGGAGACAATTAGCTGAATAAAGTCATTATTTTTGTTTTCTTCACGTACAAAAAGTATTCTTGTAGCTTCGTAAAATTACGGTTGAACCACTGATGGCAGATGGACTATTTTGACTATGTCTTTTATACTTTTCTGGGCCTTGACAGTGTTAATTGTTTGGCAGTCAATGGGACAGTCACAAGCATCCTGGTATTCATCCAAAATATCTTAAATTGTGTTCCGAAGGCGAATGAAGCTTTTACGGGTTTGGAACAACATGGGGGTAAAGTGATTAATGACAAAATTTTAATTTTGGGGTGGAGTAACCCTTTAAAGTACAGGCCCATTTTGTTTGAGAGATAGCGCACAGTCAAGCCTCTCCTCCTGGAGACGTCTTCATGTTTATTTCTGTCTCGCCTCCCTAAAAAGAAATTCAAGGGGGAAACAGTCTGACAGTAAAGCAATTAAAGGCAGAGGAAGATAAAATATCCATATGCCACAGCATTTAACAAGCCAGCAGTTTCATTCTCCCAATACAATGAGACTCATTCAATATCTGTCTGTGAGTTCTCTGACTGAAAGGTCAGTTTGCGATTGTTCGCACCCCGTTTACTCGGCCTTTCCCCCTCCTTTTCTTGTTCGTTGTATGAATTTCTTGTCTACGCACACCCTTTCCTGTTCACGACTCTCTCTCAATATGCTGAATAACACCTTTTGCCTGTTTACTTTACGGCCCCAGAAAGCAATTTCTCTGAAGACAGAAGGTTATTGTTGCAGATTAAACTCTCTGAATCGAGTGTGATGCATGGGTAGCACTGACATCAGAGGCGTCTGACTAAACAGGGCTCCTCACCTGTTCTTGCTCAGAGAAAACTCGATGTGGCAGTACCAAGATTATGCCTAGTTAAAACCATAACGGAAGGAGGGAAGAAAAGAAACCAAAGAGGCAGAACCCCACTTGGAGACATCAAGTGAAGCAATCCAAGTTATTACCACATGCTTTATGGATACAGTGCTCGCAGATTGGCAGAGTGATCTGGTCTAGAAGTAGAATGCTATGGAAGAGATGAATGAATCTAATAGTAAGTCTGATGTTGTAAATCGTTCACTTATAAACTCTGCCGAGAAGCACCTGGGACGCTGACGTATGACTGTGCTTGTTTACCCCCCCACTTTACCCCCATGTTGTTCCAAACCCGTTGTTGACTGTGTGTGTGTCCTATCCAATAAAAAATCATTCACTCGCTCTCATAAAATTTCAATTCTCTATGACATTCATTCTTCTGTGGGCAAATTTTCTAAATAAAATAAAAGTCAGTGGGGTCTATTATTGTTGAGACCAACAGCAGGGTGAATA